CGACTTGCGAATTTTGCCTCAGTAGTCACACACAAAGGAATCAAGACGAGGCGCCGTGCATAAAGCTCAGTCATTCGTGAAAAGACAAAAGTTTTTCACAATTGACTGAGCTTTATGCACGGCACCTCGTCTTGATTTCTTTGTTTTTGACTACTAAGGCAAATTTTGCAAGACAGCTATTATTTTGATTTTTCCACACCTGAATATCTCATGAGGGCTCTTGTGTCAATGTGAGACACATTCAAATTATTATGTTGGACTATGAATCATTAGTAAAAAAGTAAAATGTAATTTTAATTATTATTGATCTTGATTTAGATGCTGAAAACCTGGTTATCATTAACGATAGTCCTGTTGATGTTGGTCATGTTTTATTAGTACCAAGAAGTAATCAAGGTCTTCCTCAGGTTAGAATAATTTCATAAACTATTAATTAATATTGTTACATACAGGTGTAGTAATTCTTAGTTTCATCAAATTTTATATCAGTTTTATCTTTTTTCTTTTCAATTGAATAATATACCAAATAATATCCTAAATTTATGAGGAGATAATTTTCAAAATATACAAACTTGACAACTTTTAATGTTTTCTTAGGTGTTAACTGAGGATGCTCTAAGGATAGCTATTGACATGATGTTACTTAGCAACCATAGGTACTATGATTATTTTGCAATAAATTAATCTATTGGTACTTATTCAGGCAATTTTGAAGTTGTTGCATATTTTTCAGAGGTTTTCGAGTTTGCTGGAACAGTCTTGGAGCATTGGCAAGYGTCAATCATCTTCATTTCCATGCATTCTACTTGGATTATCCTCTTCTTGGTGAAARAATTGTAGGTGAATTTAAAAAAGCAGATTTGCAGGCCAATTTGTTTAACAAACCATAATGGGAGATTTAGAAATATTTGTTAGGACTGTACAGTTGTACAAAATGCTGTGCCATTTCACTGCCTCTTGATGACCAATTATTTCTTTATTCGAACTCTATTCCCCTAGGGCAACTGCTGAATAGACTGAGGCACTTTAAACTTCATTTTTTAGTTATAATTATTAAAAAGGTGTAATTTCTACTAATTGCTTGGAATGGGCCTATCTGCAGGTGTCCACAATATGCCAGTACCTTCAATGTGAGAGTTAACTCAAGTTTTACACTGTTTGCTTTGCAGACTGCAAAACCACTATCCTGTCATGGATGTTTTGAAATAACAGAAGAGTCTACAAGAGGATTTGTGTTTCAACTGCATGAGCAAACCATGGATTCTCTCACAAGGTAAAGTGCATGGCTACAATGTAGTTCTCTACTGTAATAAATTGCTGTTTTTGAATTGCATTACATGTATTGGTATTCATATCATATGATAAAAATGTCTGTATAAGGTAAGACAAATGTGGATCAGCAAGCCATACATGTATCATCAAATAATTGTTGGATAATGATTATTCTCATTAATCCTCTCTAACAGACTTGTCTTCAAAGTATCAACATATCTGATAGACAAACAAGTTCCTCACAACATTTGTATAACAAGAGGATACACCTTGTCATCAAGCACTGACCTTGTGTCATCAGAAGAGACTCRTGAACATCAAAATGAGTCTACTATAAGAGTGTTTTTATGGCCTAAGAAAGCAGTGTTTGGTWCAAAGCCCCAATTTCCTGGAACATCAGGTATTTCAAACAGGAAATAAGGTCTTAATCATTATGATAACTAAAAGAAATGATTTCCTTCACAGTTCAAATTCTGTACAAAATTGAAGGTGGTTTTTGTATTGCCTTGTGGCATAATGATGTCACAGTATGTTTGATTGTGAATAGATGTTCAGAAATACTCAAAATTTGGACCTATTACAGTCAAACTACCTGAAGCGTGAACACGTAGAGATCATTAATGAATTCATTATTCCATT